GAACATTCAATTCACAGTCAACAGCTCTGGTGGACATTCCTGCAGTCAGCATGCCAATTGCACGCTCCGTCAAAACTTTTTGCTGTGTCGATGGAACTGCACATTTTCGAGTGGCCAGCCTAAGGCCTTTTATTGTGGCCAGCCTAAGGCACACCTGTGCAGTCCCCATGCTGTCTGATCAGCATCTTGATATGCCACACCTGTGAGGTGGATGGATTATCTTAGCAAAGGAGAAGTGCTCACTAACACAGATTTTGACAGATTTGTGAACAATATTTGAGAGAAATAGGCCTTTTGTGTACATAGAGAAAGTCTTAGATCTTTGAGTTCAGCTCAGGATGAATGGGGGCAAAAACAAAAGTGTTGCGTTTATAATTTTGTTCAGTTTATAATGCAACTTCCATCAGAGAGACATTATGTTGACTTACATTAATTCCCTGGAGACTTACCCTAAACCTAGCTTATACTTGCCTAAAACTAACCCTTACCCTAATGTCAACCTCAAGTTAAACCTACCTCAGACCTTAAAGTATTCTCTATAAACATTAATGATTTACATTAACTGACACCCCATAGAGGTTCACACCTCTGCTACAGTACCAGCTCATACTGTGACTTATAAAGTGGTGAAAATGATTCCCATCAGCCTGGTTGAATTATAATATCATTAACTCAGCAGTCAGCAGACCTCCCAGGTAACATTAACAGTATTTTTATTAAGGCTAAGCCATTTCAATTACACTGAAATCAGATGGCTCAGCCTTAATAAAACCTGTCAATCAGCGCATGATCATTATAATTCATTTAAACACAAGTTCCATACTTTGTCATTAGTATGAAAAGTAACCTACTGCAACAATCAATTCTTTGAAGGAACCCTTAATCATTGTCATATCATGTATACGCTAGGGCTGCAGCAACTATTGGACAATTACTTTTTTGATTAATAATTTGTTTTCTATCTAATTTTCCAGAACCCAAGGTGATTATTAGGGCCTGAGCACGAACCGTGCGAGGTCCCTATTGAAATTGAAGAGATTATGTTTTTTGTCTTCTTTTTTCTGCAAAGTAAGCTCAATTTTGGGGGCCTAAACATACTCAAAAAGGCACCACACTCTGAAACTCTGGTGTGGCAAAATGGCTCGCCAGCTCCCCTTACAGTGCAGCCCCCGGACAAAGTTTAACCTACATGTACAAAATTTCTGTGGTACGTTTATCATGTCTAGACGCACAAAAAAGCCTCTTGGAGCCATTCCCTAAACCAACAGGAAGTCGGCCATTTTGATTTACTTCAATTTTGGATGATTTACACACTTCGTACTTTAACAAACTCCTCCTAGGGATTTAGTCCGACCGACCTCAAATTTCTGCTGTGCCTTCTAAAGGCATTGAAGATGAAAAGTTGTGCTATCTGTGAGTTTTTGTCGATGGGCGTGTCCGTGGCGTGGCGTCAAAGATCAAGTCTTTGCCATGACACAGGAAGTTGCTGTAACTTCAGTGTACATGCACACATCTGCACCAAAATTTACATACTTGATAACTGTCCCGTCCCGAACACATCTACACGCCAATATTCATTTATATTCATAGTGCCAAGTACTAAGTAGCGCCACAAAGGGGACACAGGAAGTGACGTAGAACACCTTCGTGCAGCGTCCGAAGCGCGTAGCAAATTCACAGCCGCACCGGCAGAGCTCCAGAATATGCAACACGGCCGCCTAACGCTGCTTGCAGCTTTAATTTTTCAATTATTATCATTCAATTTACAGTGATATAAAACAGAGAAAAGCAGCAGCTCCTCCTATTTCAGAAGCTAAAACCAAAAGTGCATTTTTGTTTCATAAAAATAAACTTAATGTATAAAACAGATGTTCTGTTGGCCGACTCACTGATTAATTGGCTACTCTTTTCAGCACTAATAAACACAATACATAACTTTACAGAAGTTGCAGTACAGAAACCAGAGAAAAGGGATTTGATGATAATTTGCTGCAAGTAAAACACAGAAGTGCCATCCACTGTTACGGAATGACAGACTGTCCGTCAATGCATCATAGACACATTAACATACTCATCACCAGCCTCTAAGGATGTGGTGATAAAGCAAAGGTCTCGTATTACACTACTGGTTGTGAAATCAAAGCCACAGAAAGCTGGAGGCTAAAGTATCATATTATTTTAAATCCATGAAACACCAGCAAGGTAGATGTGAAGACAGAGATGTTCCTTAGATTCAATGTGGGAAAATGCAGAGGCATGTTCCACTCTACAAGAGTTCTGCACTAATTTGCTGTCAGTCACCTAAAACAGCTCATCTGTTGATGACCAAACTCGCTCTCTCTCGACAAGTTTTCTAGTGAAGTATGTCAAAAGACGTGATAGTTATGTTCATGTTACTGCTGAAGCAAAGGCAACTGTCCTCCCCCGTTCCTCTGGCCCTTCTTTCATCTCCGTCACTTGTCTTCCCTTAACTCCGTCCCCTCCACCCTCGCTCTAAACCCCTCATTCTGTGCTTTTATTCTCTCTTTTTCAGTTGCCTCCTCCTCCTCTATCTGCTCTTCATCCTGTCTTAATTCTACTGCTTCATCTTTGCATCTTTCCTATAATGTACTCGACATTGGACAGAGGCAGAGCTTCAGAGTGTGGGTAGTGTTGGTGCAGCAGAGTGCTTCCAAACGTGTCCATCTGCCAAAGAAGAACAGGAGGAGGAGGAGGAGGAGGAGGAGGGGGAGGAAGAGGAGGTAGAGGAAGAGGCCAGAGGGCATGTGTCTTAATCGGGATTGACAGTTACATCGCTCCAAGATAAATGTCCGTCACACTTAAATCCTCCACCGATCAGTTGCCCTTGCACACACCACAGACAGAGCACAGACACACATGGTGGCATTTCTGAATGAACTTTGTCAGGTGGAGGTGGAGTCTCACACACACACACACACACCTAAAGTTAGAATGAGCATTCCTAAAACAGGCATATGAGCACACGTACAAATTCGCACACATTTTCAAGTGTCTGCAGGCAACCATAGCAACGGTTGCCGTAGCTACTGTAGGAAGCCAGGACTTTTGATGGCACGTTTCCCAAAGGAACCAGTCATGCATCATATTGCATGGGGGATGGTGGTATAGGATGTACTGTATACTGTATATACTGTAAATGAAGACTTACTGTTTGCTGCCAGACCTCTGAGGAGACACAACTCACAGCCCATGCTTGAAGTGTTCACCCATATTTAAAAAACAAAACATACAAACAAAAACCAAACATTTTTCTACAAACCAAATTAAATAGAAGTTAATGGAACTTAGTTTGTGGTCGTCACAGTATTAAAAAACTACATTAAAGAGGTCATATTCTGCTCATTTTCAGGTTCATAATTGTATTTAGGGGTTGTACCAGAACAGGTTTACATGGTTTAATTTTCAAAAAACACCATATTTTTGTCCTACATGATACATCTCACTTCTACAAGATCGTTGTTTGGAGTTGCACATGCGTAGTTCCTAATTAACGACTACTAGCCAATCAGAAGCAGAGTAGGGTGGATCCTGACAAGCCTTGTAAACACGGCTTCGGATCAGTCGTACATGTTCCCGTACCAGCTTCGCAACCTAGACTGGAGCAAGAGTTTCAGAGTGGGTGAGTTATTATTCTGTAACACAGTGAGCTTTCATATGTAACGTTTTAACTGAGCTCTGTCTCTACATCACCGTAACACCTTTATGACCACTGACTGCCTGGAGGGTTGCTAGTGTTCGGAAGGGAAAGTGGGCGTGAGGGGAAGCAGCGGGTGGACGTGTGTTTCTCCACTGGTGTTTTTGAGGGCGTGCCTGACTAGCCGCTAGGTGAGCATTATGACGTGTGTTACAACGTGAAACAACTTGTTAACGAATTAAAGGCTGGACTACAATCAAGCTGATTTTGGGAGATGGGAACTCCCTTTGGGCTGGACTTTTTCACTTTGCAAACCTGTTACATGCACAAAAAGGAAATATAACTCAATAAAGGAGAGGGAAAAAGCCGAAAAGTACAATGTGACCACTTTAAACAAGAGCACACTAATGGGGAAACGGTTTCTAGAAAGATTTGTTAGATTTTGTACTTAGTTCAGTTCATTTACATGGGACACTGTAGAGTACTGTAGCGATTTAGCATTGCACTCTTGCCACATTGTTGGACTCCCGTTAGACAATTAAATGTTATCATAATCACTGTTGACCATTGCACACTCAAGGGACATCACTTGAGGACATTTATCAGACCTCACTCAGCTCCCTCTGGAGACACTAAAGGCTCCACACTACTTTTAAAACATAAGCAGTAGAGCTCTCCAACACCTACTGGTGCTGTTACCCTTTAAGAATCCAGGTTGATCAGAGCTGAGAGCTTCATGCACTGTAGTAACCTGGTTACTATAAATCTGTGTACGCACACACACACACACGCACGCTGCGGGTTAGAACTGAGATTCGTCGGTACGGTTCTGCGAGACAGATAGCTCAAAACCTGAACAAACAAGACCAAAACTGCTAGAGGTGAAATGCTTTTTGTAATTCGGGTAAACGGAGGCTCTAAGGACACTTACCCTTAATCATAATCATACTTGATCTCCATCTTGTCAAACATACAGAGGTCTGAAGGAAATCTTCTCTATGGTGTACTATTATTAATCTCTTGATTTTCTCCAGACCAGAATTTCTCTGGACATGCAGGTGAAAAAGTGATGACATCTTATTGGGAACAGCAAATAGCAGGCGCTGACTAGATCACAGCTGTGCTGCAACACGACAGCAAAGTAGTGACATGTGTGAGTCATATGTTCACCTCTGACCTCCAGGTTAGTGAGCCTGGATCTTGTTAAAAGAAAAAAAGAGAATAAAACTCCTCTGTGCAGGGTGAGTGTGTATCCAAGACTGCCACGCCTTCCTTCTGATGTACACACCACACACACACACACACATCACAGATCTCCACTCTCCGGCGTTTTGCAGAGGCTCACCTTGGCTGGCGCTGTGAAGGTAGAGCCCGTCGTGCCTCCTCCCCCAGCCGGCTGAGGGAGGGCGACCGGCTCCTTGCCCCCCTCCCCATGGTCCGGACCACCACGTTGCCATTGGGGCTGCCGCTGGGCATCTGCTGGAGCAGCTGGGGTGACAGGCTGCGATGCAATGCTGAGGAGCCAGGCTGCGAGTGACCCTGCTGGGGGGCCCTGTGCAGGTGGGGCTGGGCTTGTTGGTGCTGCTGCAGATGGGGGGCCCAGTTTCCAGGAGAACCGTGCTGCTGCTGGTACTGACCGACTGTTAGGTTGTTGTCGCTGTTGGAGCGCAGGAGGACCCGTGGCGCTGATAACGAGGACGGGGACTGATCGTTTCCGCTGCCGTTGCCAGAAGACAGACCCCGGCGGCGTTTGGAGTAGGCTGGAGCCTCGCGGAAAGGCACTGCAGAGGAATGAAGGAGAAGGAATAACATTTTTATTAAACTTTTAATTTTAAAATTAAATGCTTCAGTAAGCTACCTTTGCTCGTTTCTGATAGTCCAACTGTTAGTGGATTTTTTGACTGATAGGACATAATGTACACTGAGGACATACAATCATCACTTATAAAGTTAGTACCGTAAGCTATTGTCAGTTTCCAAAACATTTGAGAAATGGGCTTCATTTTGTTTACAAAATTTACGTGTTGCTTCCGGTAAAAATGTAATGGCTTTTTGAGTTACCGCATTTGAAACAAGACAAATTTATAAAGGTTGATTGATGGATGTGATCCTAATAGAAGCATTTAAACAAACTGAAGATGTAGCTTGAGTTGAAGCACTGAAGGAATCGAAGTGAAACTGCTGAAAAGAGTTTAAGAATCAGTTTATTAAGAGATGATTTCATAAACAAAAGTAACTCGCAGATAAAAACATACTGTACAAATGGAAGTTCCTACTCAAATACATGCAACTAACTACACATACACATGTGTTGCAAGAAAATTAATTGTGATTTCAATGTAATCTTAACTTTAACTCTATTAAAATGCTATTTTTATGCACAACTGACCAAGTAAAGTATCAAGTAAAACATTCACAACAAGGATTTTCTTTCTGAAAAATAGATTTCACCATTTTATTCCAACAGTGTAAAAGTCTGTTTTTATAGTTTGGCCTTGACCTTTGGTCATGAGACATGTTATGCTTTATATTGCTGATCAGACACAAACTGAAAATGGTATCTCGTCGTTCTACAGTTATTTAAATTCTACAAAATTAGACACAATCTGGTACCAGCATTAGACAGTATTCTCTGTCCGTGAGTCTTTACATGAGAACACTTCCTCTACATCTCTGAAGACACCACTACAGAGACTTCCACAGCAGAGGACCACCCTGTGTGTGTTGCTGTACTTGAGTGAAGAGAAAGGGCCAGTAACCCTGA